GTCGTCCAGGTAGGCTAGTAGCCGTATTCCCTGACGACGCAGCGGTTCCAATGCCGCCTCCACACACTTGGAAAATGTGCGAGGTGCCAGGGCGTACCCAAATGGCATCCTCGTGTATTTGTACGCCACCCCTTGAAAGGCGAACCGCAGAAACTTCCTGTGACGCGGCTGAACCGGCACATGAAAGTACGCGTCCTTTAGGTCTATGCTCGTACAAAAGTCCCCTCTCTGGACACATTCCAGCAGACGTTTTGTCGTTAGCATTCGGAAGGGCCGTTTGGTTATGCTCTCGTTGAGAATGCGTAAATCCAAAATCGGCCTCACTCCCCCCGTCTTTTTGGGCACTAGGAAATAAGGCGAATATAGCCCTTTGTTCCTTTGCTCCCGGGGAACTACTGTCACCGCCTCCTTCGCCAAAAGTTCCGTAATCTCTGTCATCAGAGCGGCCACTTTGTCTGGCGTTTTCATCACCGTCTCCACCACTCCCCTGAACGGGGGTGGGGTCCGGTGGAATTGGAGAGCATAACCCTTCTGCAACGTCTGTTCTAGCCAGCGTGAGAGGGTGCAGCTTCTTCGCCACTGCCAGCAATGCAGAGAAAGTGGCTGGGCGCGAAGCTGTGGTGCATCCAGTAGGAAGGACCTGTATTCCTCTATGGCCCTTACCGCCACTGTTCCCCAACATTAAAGTGGTGGAACAGCCCAAGGTGGGCCTCCCGTGAAAGGGAGAGGAAATGCGTTCTGAGAAAGAAAGAGGAGTAGGGACATCGGTTAAACCCGTAACCGTCGTATTCCTGCCCTCCTTGAACGCATCGCGGGTCTGAATTGCGCTGACCGAGGCCACAGCCTGCGGCAGGGCACCATCCCCAGCAAGCGATTGCGTCATCTTAGGTGACTGCAATTCGCTATCAGAGCCCTTCACTACAGTACTTCTAGAAGTCTGTAGTATGAGGTCTCTATGAGGTAAAACAAGGCGGCGCCTTGATACCTTCTTAACTTTCACCTTCTGTGTGTGTTCAACTCTGCACCCCTGGTGGGTTGAGTCACGCTCAGTGTGGTGAGTATTAGCGCGTTCAGAAAGAAGTGGGGGCGCCGATACACTGGGAACGTTCGTCACCGTGGTAATCGGGCCCTCCGTGAACGCAGCATGGGTCTGAATCGCACTAACCGAGACCTTAGTCTGCGATAGTGCGCCATCCCCAACTAGCGGCTGCGTCATCATGTCTCCTGACTGAGACTGCAGCCTGCTATGAGAGGCACTCACTACAGTACTCCTTGGAGTCTGTAATGTGAGGTCTCTTTGAGATAAACCAAGACGGCGTCTAGGTATTATTCCTCCTTTCACCTCCTGTGTGCGTTCAGCTCTGCACCTCTGGTGGGCTGAACTACACTCAGTGTGGTGAGCCTGGGCGCGTTCAGAAAAAGGTGGGGGCGCCGATACACTGGGCACCTTCGTGACCGTGGTAATCGGGCCCTTCTTGAACGCAGCATGGGTCTGGGTCGTACTAACAGAGACCTTAGTCTGTGATGGTGCGCCATCCCCAATGTGGTTATTATCAGCGTGTTCTGAGAGAAAACGGGGGCGCCGATACGTTGGTTACGCCCGTAACCGTAGTAATCAGGCCCTCCGTGAACGCAGCACGGGTCTGAACTGCACTGACTGAGGCGTTAGCCTGAGACAGAGCGCCGTCCCGAATAGCGGTCGCGTCATCATGCCATTATCTGGCTGAGACTGCAGCCTGCTATGTGAGACACTCACTACAGCACTCCTAGGAGTCTGTAAAGTGAGGTCTTTATAAGGTACACTTAATACCTTTTATATACCTGCCTTATGTGTGCATTCAGCAACGCACCATGGTGGGCTGAGCTGCACTCATAGTGGTAAGAGAGAGAGCGAGAGTGAGGAAGGTCGAACGCTCTCGGATGTATTATGGAAAAGGGGCTCTTTTTTGACAGTGTCAAGTAGAGCCAACTCTTTATTACACACATCAACAAAAAACATTCTCCTCCATACACTCAACGGTAGAGTGGGGGGGGACAGTGGGCTCGGTCACAGCAGGCGCTGTGCCGTCTTCCGTTCTCTCCCCCTCGCCTGTCATAAACGGCGTCTCTTCTGGCCGCCCTTCGGGTGATGCCAGGATGACGCTTTAATGACCTCTCTCGCCGGCACCTCTGGCGCTGCAGGGGGGGGCGAGGCCCGCTCCCTTGCTGCTGGAGGCCGCCGTCTGACGCGAAGCTGTAGCGAGAGTAACGGCCGCCCTTCCTCATATCCACTTCCGGGTTGGAGGGAATGGGGGGCAGCTTAATCTTCCGCTGTTTAGCAGCCCACTCAATGAGACCTGAGAATTCAGGCACAGAGAGGCTGTGGCGTCATCATCCAGGGATGTAATGACCTCACAATTTCCCGAAGGAAAAGGGGTGTTAAACATCTGGGTCAGTGTAATGAATTGTTCCAATAGAATATTCATTCTTCCCCAATAGCCCTGTCATCTCCTGAGTCAGCGCCTTCAGATGATGCCTCAGAAGCTGAGACTAACACTGATAGCACATCCTCAAGAGGAATATCCTCCCTAAAAATGCCCAACGCTGCTTCCACTCCTTCAAAAAAGGAGGGCGCAGCTGGCGCATAGTGGGGGATTAATGAAGCTGTCCCTGGCGTGCTGTGTCCCTCAACCCACGAAACAAATGTCGGGGGGGTCGACAGCCGCCAAGGGGAACAGCGACATTGAGCTCTGAAAATAGCTTTTGTTAAATACTTACCCTATGGATAAGCTTGGTGTGCTCATTGTAGGACGACGTCGATGATCTGGAAAATCGACGGCGTTTTCTTCGTCCTGAGTCTTCTCTTCGTCTCTTCTTGGCTTCTTCAGTCTAGTCCAGTCGCTGAAGAAAAAGGGAGGCTGATTGAGGGGAGGCACCCCCTCTTATAGGGACACCTGTACTCCTATTGGCTGTAGGTGTGTGCAAAATTTTGTCTCAGGCTGCTGCTGCCTTAGGGCAGAGGGTAAACCATTAGGAGCAGAGCGCCCCTATGGGGCGGAGCTCCACGATATAGAACCACTCGAGTGTTGCTTTAGCAGTATACTTAGAGTCATTGTCCTGCTGGAAGGTGAACCTCCGTCCCAGTCACAAATCTCTGGAAGTCTGAAACAGGTTTCCCGTTGCTTAGTGGTGTTGCAGACTCTGGGGCCTTTCAGATCAGGTGTATATATACTGAGATCATGTGACACTTAGATTGCACACAGGTGGACTTTATTTAACTAATTAGTGACTTCTGAAGGTAATTGGTTGCACCAGATCTTATTTAGGGGCTCCATAGCAAAGGGTGTGAATACATATGCACTCACCACTTTTCCGTTATTTATTTTTTTGAATTTTTTTAAACAAGTTATTTTTTTCATTTCACTTCACCAATTTGGACTATTTTGTGTATGTCCATTACATGAAATCCAAATAAAAATCCATTAAAATTACAGGTTGTAATGCAACAAAATAGGAAAAACGCCAAAGGGGATGAATACTTTTGCAAGGCACTGTATGTCAGTTTAGCGACTTAAGCTCCTCTGTTTGAAGTGGTGGCGCTTGCTTGCTTGTATTTAGAATGAAAGCACAGCTGCCTCTGTCTCTCACCCCTCATCTTGTCTTCACATAGAATTTTGAACGGCATCCTTTACATTGATAGTTACTAGTGGTGATAATAACTTTGTCTCTGGTCCCCAGGCACAGTGGCCAGTTTGGCACTATCAACAACTTCCGTCTGGGCCGACTACCCAGTGTCCCCGTAGAGTGGAACGAGATCAATGCCGCCTGGGGTCAGACCGTGCTACTGCTCCACGCCCTCGCCAACAAGATGGGGCTACGCTTCCAGAGGTCAGACATGACACACACAAGGACATAGACGTGGCACACACCCTTTTACGCCATGTAATATGTTCAATTGCCAAAGAAGTAACTGAATTTTAATCAGCTCCTTTGTCATATCCAAATAAACATGTGTCATTAAAATAATGTAAAATATCTTGGTGAATTTCTTGAACCTCTCTCTATAGATACCGCCTGGTCCCATATGGAAACCACTCAAACCTGGAGTCACTTACAGACAAGTCCAAGGTAATGGTTGTTACCAACAAGTGAGGTTTCAAACCAAAAGGCACATGAACACACTTACCACTGGATACTATATGGAGACAAACAACAAAAAATGTTTCATGAGCTGTGAAAGACTGAACTATCCTTTAAATATTATTTTGCAATACTCATTAGCCAAGCCAACCCCCGTGAATAGGCCATGTTGTAATGGTACATTCCACTCTCTCTTTCCTCTTTGTGTGTGTAGGAGCTACCACTGTACTGTTCAGGGGGCCTACGCTTCTTCTGGGACAACAAGTTTGACCATGCCATGTTGGCCTTCCTGGACTGTGTGCAGCAGTTCAAGGAGGAGGTGGAGAAGGGAGACACGGGATTCTGCCTGCCCTACAGGGCAGTCAACTAGTCTAGCAGACATCATCAAATTATAATTGTAATCATCTATGGATTATGCAGAGAAACAAAGGATTAAGCTGTCAAAAGCTGACCAACTTCAGTTATTTGTGTAAGTTTGGCATGTTATACAACTAAATCAATTAGTTTCTTTCTTCATTTTGCCAATTCATATTATAATTTTTTCACTCCTTTTCATATTCAGAAATGACAAATACATTCCCTTGTTTCTTAATATTTCATTTATTATACTTTCCTTTACTAGTAACACATCTGACAGAATGATTTAGATGAGTGTTTTACACAGGTGTTTCTGTAGATTTGAGGAACTGCTGAACACTGTTGGTTTAGATGGTTCTGGATACAATACTGCCTCCTAGTAGTACTGCCTCTTATTGGAACCCTCACAGATTCCAAAGTAGATGTCCTCTTTTGGGCAGCAGGTGGTTTAGCAGTCACTGTATGTCTGTCTGTCTGTTCAATCCAAAATACAAAAGAGCAACAGACTCTGGTCCCTTGGTGCATCACACCACAGATCGCTTCATGTAGCCGGCCATTTCAGTGCCCTTGAGCCGGTGCTTGGTGGAGTCATAGACCCCCCGTCTAGAGCTATTGGAGGAGAGCTTGGCACAGATCTCGCTGTGTTTCTCCAGGCGGCTAGGATCAAAGCACCGGCCGCAGTGCTCACACTGCTTCAGCTTGGAGTTGGCTGCACTCATCCCAAATCGACGTTTCAACACCACCTGAATTAATGGATGTTATCAGATGGGCCAAATAATGGGCAGCTAGGGCAACAAATACAAGATATACAACATGTACAAACCAGATGAGGCTGGTGGGAGGAGCTATAGGAGGACAGGATCATTGTAATGGCTAGAATGGAATAAAGGGAACGGTATCACACACACAATCATATGGAAACCACATTTGACTCTGCTCCATTAATTCCATTCCAGCCATTAGGAGCCCATCCTTCTATAGCTCCTCCCATCAACCTCCTCTGATACAAACGCATGTGATCACCAACACTACACTAGATCAGCAGTTAGCATGGCTTTGATATATCAAGCTACTTTACCTGTCTGTCCTTTTTCTCTTCAATGGTCAAACCCTTCTTCACTTCCTTTGGCTTGCTCACAGCGTATCTCGTGACTGTCTGCTTTGGCTTACTTGCCACGCTGCTTTCTTCTCCATTTCTCCTCACCTCTTTACTCCTTCCTTCTTCTTCTTCGTAATCTCTTATCATCTCCCATAGGTCAGAATCCACCTTCATCAGGCAGATCTCCTGAATGTACTTCACCACCTTTTTTCTGAACAGTTCCTTTGCGTTTTTCTCCTCCAAAGCCTGAGCACCCATCTTGGACCCACTCTTAATCAGGTTCAATTCTTGGGTGACACTGATCAGCTTGGCCTTCAGATATGCCATCACCTGCTCAGACTCGGAGTTGAAGACGTCCCACACCATCTCATCGGGGCATGGCGGTAGATCCTGTACAGTTAGGGTCTTGAACGGAATGTGTTTCTTCACAACCTGCCTTCTGATCTTTGAAGCAGCAGGACGAGGGCTGCCCTCTGGTCTGACTGGCTGGAATGGCTCCTTCTTGGCATCATTGTTTGGCACTCTGGCTCTAATGGGAGGCAGTGGCATCTTGGCGACTATTTTGGCTCCATGGACTGCCTTCAATGGCTTGGCGCTATGGAGGTAGATATCTTTCACCACGCAGAGTTCAACTTACGATACAACTCAAGCAAAAATGTATTAAAAAAAAGCTTTTCTCTCAAAACATCAAATGGAATGGCGCGGTTTGGTTATCCCGAAAACAGGTACATATATACAGTGAGGGAAAAAAGTATTTTATCCCCTGCTGATTTTGTACGTTTTCCCACTGACAAAGACATGATCAGTTTATAATTTTAATGGTAGGTTTATTTGAACAGTGAGAGACAGAATAACAACAACCAAAAAATCTAGAAAAACGCATATAATAAATTGATTTGCATTTTAATGAGGGAAATAAGTATTTGACCCCTCTGCAAAACATGACTTAGTACTTGGTGGCAAAACCCTTGTTGGCAATCACAGAGGTCAGGCGTTTCTTGTAGTTGGCCACCAGGTTTGCACACATCTCAGGAGGGATTTTGTCCCACTCCTCTTTGCAGATCTTCTCCAAATCATTAAGGTTTCGAGGCTGACGTTTGGCAACTCGAACCTTCAGCTTCCTCCACAGATTTTCTATGGGATTAAGGTCTGGAGACTGGCTAGGCCACTCCAGGACCTTAATGTGCTTCTTCTTGAGCCACTCCTTTGTTGCCTTGGCCGTGTGTTTTGGGTCATTGTCATGCTGGAATACCCATCCACGACCCATTTTCAATGCCCTGGCTGAGGGAAGGAGGTTCTCACCCAAGATTTGACAGTACATGGCCCCGTCCATCGTCCCTTTGATGCGGTGAAGTTGTCCTGTCCCCTTAGCAGAAAAACACCCCCAAAGCATAATGTTTCCACCTCCATGTTTGACGGTGGGGATGGTGTTCTTGGGGTCATAGGCAGCATTCCTCCTCCTCCAAACACGGCGAGTTGAGTTGATGCCAAAGAGCTCCATTTTGGTCTCATCTGACCACAACACTTTCACCCAGTTCTCCTCTGAATCATTCAGATGTTCATTGGCAAACTTCAGACGGCCCTGTATATGTGCTTTCTTGAGCAGGGGGACCTTGTGGGCGCTGCAGGATTTCAGTCCTTCACGGCATAGTGTGTTACCAATTGTTTTCTTGGTGACTATGGTCCCAGCTGCCTTGAGATCATTGACAAGATCCTCCCGTGTAGTTCTGGGCTGATTCCTCACCGTTCTCATGATCATTGCAACTCCACGAGGTGAGATCTTGCATGGAGCCCCAGGCCGAGGGAGATTGACAGGTCTTTTGTGTTTCTTCCATTTGCGAATAATCGCACCAACTGTTGTCACCTTCTCCACAAGCTGCTTGGCGATGGTCTTGTAGCCCATTCCAGCCTTGTGTAGGTCTACAATATTGTCCCTGACATCGTTGGAGAGCTCTTTGGTCTTGGCCATGGTGGAGAGTTTGGAATCTGATTGATTGACTGCTTCTGTGGACAGGTGTCTTTTATACAAGTAACAAACTGAGATTAGGAGCACTCCCTTTAAGAGCGTGCTCCTAATCTCAGCTCGTTACCTGTATAAAAAGACACCTGGGAGTCAGAAATCTTTCTGATTGAGAGGGGGTCAAATACTTATTTCCCTCAATAAAATGCAAATCAATTTATAACATTTTTGACATGCGTTTTTCTGGATTATTTTGTTGTTATTCGGTCTCTCACTGTTCAAATGAGAACACTGCAAAATTATCAGTTTCTCTGGTTTTACTATTTATAGGTATGTGTTTGGGTAAAATTAACTTTTTTTTAAAATTCTAGAAACTACTGAAAACATTTCTCCCAAATTCCAAATAAAAATATTGTCATTTAGAGCATTTATTTACAGAAAATGAAAACTTGTCAAAATAACAAAAAAGAGACAGTGTTGTCAGACCTCGAATAATGCAAAGAAAATAAGTTAATGTTCATTTTAAACAACACAATACTAATGTTTTAACTTAGGAAGAGTTTAGAAATCAATATTTGGTGGAATAACCCTGATTTTCAATTACAGCTTTCATGAGTCTTGGCATGCTCTCCACCAGTCTTTCACATTGATGTTGGGTGACTTTATGCCACTCCTGGCGCAAAAATTCAAGCAGCTCGGCTTTGTTTGATGGCTTGTGACCATCCATCTTCCTCTTGATCACATTCCAGAAGTTTCCAATGGGGGTCAGGTCTGGAGATTGGGCTGGCCATGAAAGGGTCTTGATCTGGTGGTCCTCCATCCACACCTTGATTGACCTGGCTGTGTAGCATGGCGCATTGTCCTGCTGGAAAAAAATACTCAGAGTTGGGGAACAATGTCAGAGCAAAAGGAAGCAAGTTTTCTTCCAGGACAACCTTATACGTGGCTTGATTCATGCGTCCTTCACAAAAACAAATCTGCCCGATTCCAGCCTTGCTGAAGCACCCTCAGATCATCACTGATCCTCCACCAAATTTCACAGTGGGTGCGAGACACTGTGGCTTGTAGGCCTCTCCAGGTCTCCGTCTAACCATTAGACGACCAGGTGTTGGGCAAAGCTGAAAATTGGACTCAGAGAAAATGACCTTACTCCAGTCCTCTACGGTCCAATCCTCATGGTCTTTTGCAAACCTCAGCCTGGCTCTTCTTTGCTTCTCATTGATGAAGGGCTTTTTTCTAGCTTTGCACGACTTCAGCCCTGCCCCTAGGAGCCTGTTTCGAACCGTCCTCGCCGTGCACCCCAGCTGCCGTTTGCCATTCTTTTTGTAGGTCACTTGATGTCATCCTACAGTTGTTGAGTGACATTCGAATGAGTTGGTGGTCATCCCGGTCAGCAGAGTCTCGTTTTCGCCCTCTGCCGGTCTGTAGCTTTGTTGTCCCCAATGTCTGCTGCTTGACCTTGTTCTTATGAACCGCCATCTTTGAAATGTTAAGGACGGAAGCAACCTGATGCTAACTGTATCCCTTTGCCAGTAAAGCCAGAACTGAACCCTTATTTTCCTCACTCAAAACGTTCCTTTTCAACTCTTTTGGCATGGTCCATAGTTATTTTTGAGGTACTATTAGCACTGTTTTTGCCATCCAGCTGGTCCTATTGCAAGAGGATAGTGATGACCACAGCAGTGGGTTTTATACTTTTCCTCGTTAAATATGATTTGGTTCAGGTGATCACCTAATCAGTACCTAATTCAGTAGAATGAGGGGTGCCTGTGTTGGAATTCAACAGACACTGGAATGGAATGGCTGTCACATGTAGAGATGCTGGTTTAAGAAACATTTGCACTGGTCTCTTAATTTTTTCCAGAGCTGTATACACACACACACACACATATACACAACCATTCAAAAGTTTGGGGGTCACTTAGAAAAGCATTTTTTTTGTCCATTAAAATAACATCAAATTTATCAGAAATACAGTGTAGACATTGTTAATGTTGTAAATGGCTATTGTAGCTGGAAACTGCTAATTTTTAATGGAATATCTACATTGGCGTACAGAGGCCCATTATCAGCAACCATCAGTCCTGTGTTCCAATGGCACGTTGTGTTTGCTAATGCAAGTTTATCATTTTAAAAGGCTAATTGATCATTAGAAAACCCTTTTGCAATTATGTTAGCACAGCTTAAAACTGTTGTGCTGATTAAAGAAGCAATAAAACTGGCCTTATTGAGTGTGCAAAGCTGTCATCAAGGCAAAGGGTGACTATTTGAAGTATGAAGTAAATATATTTGAAGTAAATATAAAATATATTTTGATTTGTTTAACACTTTTTTGGTTATTACATGATTCCATATGTGTTATTCCATTGTTTTGATGTCTTCACTATTATTCTACAATGTAGAAAATAGTAAAAATAAAGAAAAACCCTGGAATGAGTAGGTGTGTCCAAACTTTTGACTGGTAGTGTGTGTGTGTGTGTGTGTGTGTGTGTGTATGTGTGTATATATATATGTATATATATATATAAAATAATATACATTTTCCTTTATTATTTTTCCCTAACCCTACCTCCCCTAATTGGAGTAAACTAAAGGACAACACTTACGCTTCTACTTCCAGCTTATACATACTACATACATTTTACAGTTTAGTTTACAATAGTTATCTTTTGTTTGGTTTTAGTCCCATCTTTCAGCTCCACTCAACTCCTCTCCGAACACCATCCAGTTGATATATATTTGCCATATACTTTTCAACTGTGCTGTTTCACAAAATTCTGAACCTTTCCATTCTCATAGTTTTAAAGAGTGTAAGTTAAAACATACATTTTTGCTAAGAATATTATTATATTATTGATCAATTGGACTATGACTTTTCAAATCCCCCAGCAGTGCTATTTGGAGAATTATCTCCAGGTAAATGTTGCAATTCTTCAGCCATTCCTGAACATGCAACCAAAAACAAGCTGCATATGGACAGTACAGAAACAAATATTCTAGTGATTTTGTCTCTTCGCAGCAAAATCTTCAGAGCTGGGATGGTTGTGTCCCCAGTGGGGAGAACAAGTATTTGATACACTGCCGATTTTGCAGGTTTTCCTACTTACAAAGCATGTAGACGTCTGTCATTTTTATCATAGGTACACTTCAACTGTGAGAGACGGAATCTAAAACAAAAATCCAGAAAATCACATTGTATGATTTTTAAGTAATTAATTTGCATTTTATTGCATGACATAAGTATTTGATCACCTACCAACCAGTAAGAATTCCGGCTCTCACAGACGTGTTAGGTTTTTCTTTAAGAAGCCCTCCTGTTCTCCACTCATTACCTGTATTAACTGCACCTGTTTGAACTTGTTACCTGTATAAAAGACACCTGTCCACACACTCAATCAGACAGACTACAACCTCTCCACAATGGCCAAGACCAGAGAGCTGTGTAAGGACATCAGGGATAAAATTGTAGACCTGCACAAGGCTGGGATGGGCTACAGGACAATAGGCAAGCAGCTTGGTGAGAAGGCAACAACTGTTGGCGCAATTATTAGAAAATGGAAGAAGTTCAAGATGACGGTCAATCACCCTCGGTCTGGGGCTCCATGCAAGATCTCACCTCGTGGGGCATCAATGATCATGAGGAAGGTGAGGGATCAGCCCCCTTGAATGAGTAGGTGTGTCCAAACTTTTGACTTTTAATGTATGTGTATATGTATGTATGTATGTGTATATATATATGGGGGATTTGAAATGATGCAGACAATTACATTGATGGAAGCCACAATCTATCTGCAATATTAAAGCTGATCTACCCGCCCCTCCCAAAAAAAAATAAACATCTCACTTCGGTGCCTTTACCTCTCTCTCTCCATCAGGCCTTCATCCGCCGCTGCCTGGAGAGAGGGATGGGGGAAGGAGGATGGAGGGGACGGGGTAAAAACAGAACAAAGGATGGGGATGGAGGAGTAATAGCTGAAGTGCCCTCCCTCTCCCCACCCCTCCTAAGACACGAAGGGGCAGTGCCAGTCTGGCTTGTCTATAAGACCCAATGGCTTCCCACCTGCATGAATGGCCTAAAGTAACAGTGTGTGTGTAGTGTGTGCCCTGTGCATACCTGTTTTCGGGATAACCAAACCGTGCCATTCCATTTTATGTTTTGAAAGAAAAGCTTTTTTATACATTTTTGCTTGAGTTGTATCATACGTTGAACTCTATATATTTCCCAAGAATATAGTCATTGACAAAGTTATTTTAGGACATTGTGAAACCTGATTTCCCTCGAGCATAGTATACCAGAGAAAAGCAGAATAGCTTAACTGGTAATACTCAAATATACACAGACATACAGAGCTAGCACCCAACAACTGCCTGAAGAGCCAATCTCATAAAGAGCCTATAGAAAGTATTCACACCACTTGACTTTTTCCACATTTTGTTGTGTGGATTAAATTGAGATTTTGTCACTGACCTATACACAATACCCAATAATGTCAAAGTGGAATTATGTTTCTATAAATTTTTACAAATTAATTCATGGAAAGTCTAGCGTCAATAAGTATTCAACCCCTTTGTTATGGCAAGCATAAAGTTCAGGAGTAAAAATGTGCTTAATAAGTCACACATTTGATGAATGACTACCTCATCTCTGTACCCCACACATACAATTAATTATCTGTAAGGTCCCTCAGTCGAGCAGGGAATTTCAAACACAGATTCAACCACAAAAGACCAGGGAGGTTTTCCAATCCCTCGCAAAGAAGGGCACCTATTGGTAGATGGGTAAAAAAATAAAAAACAGACATTGAATATCCCTTTGAGCATGGTGAAGTTAATAATTACACTTTGGATGGTGTATCAATATATATTGCCAGAGAGGAAGGAAACCGCTCAGGGATTTCACCATGAGGCCAATGGTGACTTTAAAACAGAGTTTAATGGCTAAAACAAAGGATGGATCAACAACATTGTAGTTACTCCACAATACTAACCTAAATGACAGTGAATAATAAGCCTGTACAGAATAAAAATATTCCAAAACATTCACCCTGTTTGCAATAAGGCAGTAAAGTAATACTGCAAAAAATGTGGCAAAGAAATGGACTTTATGTCCTGAATACAAAGCGTTATGTTTGGGGCAAATCCAACATCATCAGTGAGTACCACTCTTCATATTTTCAAGCATGGTGGTGGCTGCATCATGTTATGTGTATGCATGTCATCGGCAAGGATGTTCATGATGAAAATAAACGGAATAGCGCTAAGCACAGGCAAAATCCTAGAGGAAAACCTGGTTCAGTCTGCTTTACAGACATTGGGAGATATTCACCTTTCAGAAGGACAATAACCTAAAACAAGGCCAAATATACACTGGAGTTGCTTACCAAGACGACACTGAATGTTCCCGAGTGGCCTAGTTACAGTTTTGACTCAAATCGGCTTGAAAATATATGGCAAGACTTGAAAATGGCTTTGTATCAACAACCAACTTGACAGAGCTTGAAGAATTTAAAAAAGAATAACGTGCAAATATTGTACAATCCTTGTGTGCAAAGCATTTAGAGACTTACCCAGAAAGACTCACAGCTGTGATCGCTGCCAAAGGTGATTTTACCATGTATTGACTCAGGAGGTTGAATACTTATTTATATATATATTTATTTTTTTACAAATGTTAGAATTGTAAATATCCTTTTACTTAAAGCGTTCTGTGTGGGTCCATTATCATTGGCATGTTCATATGGGTAATGAACCTGAAAAACCAATCAACACATTGATATGGGCATTAAATACTGCCACAAGCCTCCTTGTCTACATTTAATCCACACCAAGCAGTCTCTTGTAGTAAAAGGATTGACTTGTTGAATTTGCCAATGAACAAAAGCACACAGTATAATCCCGACGCCAAAGCTTTCGGTAGATACTTGGTGCGCACTGCGAGTGGGTACAGACAAGACAAGCGTTCCAATGCTGTTCCAACGCCTGGTGAAATAGAAAAATGTTTTACCTTATCAGCACAGTAAAATAAAAACTATTAAAACATGCACAATGTATATTATTCTGTGGCTAGAGTGGAGTTAACCCTCAGAAAGACACAAACTAATTGAAAAAAATAGGCAGAAAACCAGATTCTTGCCACTCCAGTTTTGCTTCTGGAGCAAAGTAAGAAGCATGTGATACATAATAAGAACCCATTCCAGTGCTGCATCTCAGTAGTTCAACGTATCCTTCTCTCCTAGTCTCCCTTCCCTTCACTTGTACTGATCTTTAAGAACTGAACAGGTCAACTGGAAACATCTGATGCTTTCACCTATCCAGTGTCATAAGATCTGTGTATAAGAAGGAAAAGAGACAACCAGAAGCCACTTAGCTACTATTAGGATGCAATCCTGGGATGTGCGCCAAAAGTCTCAGATAGCTCCCTTCATAACACCTACTAGTCTAGCTGGACTTGAATGTGTATAATTTAACCGTTTTTATCTTGTCCTTTCAAATGGTCAATATGGAAATCAAACAAGGAAACAAGACTTATTGGATTGGAACTCACACCAGTGGTGAATCTCAAAAGTCATTTCTCCAGTCTTCTCCCAACCCTCTCAAAACATCATAGGGAAGCAAGGAGAGCATTGTAGGAGAAGATCCGAGGAGAGGAACTTTTGAGATTCACACATTGTGAGGAAATGTTGGTTTTCACACCCAGGATAAGTCCTCATCTTCCTCCTCTATCGATTGTAAAACTGAGATGACACCCACGCCAGGCCCCACTTGAGGTTGGTCAACATGAACTTGAGCGCCTTGGTCCACTGCTCCTCCGAGTTGAACTGGGTCTTGATGGAGTAGGAGCCACCGCTGCCACCCGTGTCCTCAATCTTGCCCTTCTCCACGTCCATCCTGAAAAAAGGTGAGTTAAAGACTTGAGGGTTTGAGGTTTATTTATTTCTCAAGAGGGGTATGAAAGAACCTGGTGCAACATCTACAGCTGCTGACACCAACATTTGTATCTAAAGCCAGTACGCTATGACAAACTAATCTGCAGATTTCTCATGCTAGTGACTAGTGGGAGGCAAATGTTCATGCAGAGACAAAGGATTAAGCTGTCAAAAGCTGACCAACTCCAGTTCTTTGTGTAAATTTGGCAAGTTATTAAATCAGAGTACCACAGTATGAGTCATAATACCCATAAAACATAGCAGTCCCTTAGGGGATTTTAGAAAAACTTAAAATAAGGGCTGTGCTTCATGTAGGCTTACCCTTGTGTGATGTTTTGATAACCGAGTAAATCTCTGTAGGACAAGGTGACTTAATATATTCGCCTGTATTTAGCCCCCCAAAATGAAATGCTAATTAGATGCTAATGTGGCTATCATAAAGAACTACAAATGCCATGATGATCTGGACGAGACTGCAGAGGCAAGAATCTCTGGATTAACTATCTAATGTTAGTTAAATTTGCCTCCCGAGTGGCGTAGTGCTCTAAGGCACAGCATCACAGTGCTAGCTGTGCCACTAGAGATCCTGGTTTGAGACCAGGCTCTGTCGCAGTCTGCCGCGACCAGGAGACCCATGGGGTGGCGCACAAATGGCCCAGTGTCGTCCAGGTTAGGGGAGGGTTTGGCCGACAGGAGTATTCTTGTCCCATTGCTCCTGTGGCGGGCAGTGCACGCTGACACGGTCGCCAGGTGCACAGTGTTGCCTCTGACACATTGGTGCTTCCGGGTTAAGCAGGCATTGTGTCAAACAGCAGTGCGGCTCGGCTGGGTTGTGTTTCGGAGAATGCACGCCTCTCCCGAGTCCGTACGGGAGTTTCAGCGATGGGACATTTCTCCCCACGAAATTGGGGAGAAAAAGGGGTAAAATAAAAATATCTAATTAAAAAAAATTATGTTAGCTAAATTTTGTAATGAATAAATTGCCAAGATTTCTTTAAATTGATAATTCAGAGAGTATAGTAATATGTTTCCCCTCAAAGAAAGGTGGCATGTTTAAATATGAGATGTGGGCAAGCAGTTCAACACAGATAGGTCACATTAACCATTTTGGGCAGTATATTATGGTCCATTATGACATGACATCCACATAAACTGTGAGATTCTAGAAGTCTCAATCTGTGTGAACCAACGATGATGTCACAACTGATCAATGAATTCCAAATGTTCTGTTTGAACATTCTGGTGCCTGATTGCTGAACATAGAACATCAGTATTCAAGACAATCTAGCGGATGCCTCCTGAGATATAGTTAACAAATTAGATCACCATAAAATATAGAAAATGCTACTAGACGAAAACTTGAGGTTGCAGAACGGGGTTAGAAGAATGCCACTGTCGATCTCCTTGATGATGAGGAGATTCCTGCAGCCGATACAGGAAGATAATGCTTTAACAGGGAACCTTGGAGCTGCCAGTAGCAACTCCGTTCAGCCTGCCCCACCATCTCAACCCAAGGCCACTGAGAAGCTTCCTGCGCTCAATCAAAACAGTTTAAACACCTCCAGAATCCCAGTACTGGAGTTGACTGAAGAAAGAAAGAGTGCTCTGCAACGACTTGCCAGTTTGAAGGCTGTGGAAAAGTTTGACACTGAGGAAAAGAAACCACATCCTCCCTCCAAAATCCCAGTACTGCAGAAGAAGAGGTCCATCTGCAATGGGAAGAGTCAAGGACTGCATGTAGCTCCAACATCTCAGCAGCGAGGGAAGGCTACTGTTCCTCCCATCCGGAAGCCACTGCAACCCATCCGCAACAAGAGGGATCAAACCTGCGTGGTGAAAGACATCTACCTCCATAGCGCCAACCCATTGAAGGCAGTCCATGGAGCCAAAATAGTCGCCAAGATGCCACTGCCTCCCATTAGAGCCAGAGTGCCAAACAATGATGCCAAGAAGGAGACATTCCAGCCAGTCAGACCAGAGGGCAGCCCTCGTCCTGCTGCTTCAAAGATCAGAAGGCAGGTTGTGAAGAAACACATTCAGTTCAAGACACTAACTGTACAGGATCTACCGCCATGCCCCGATGAGATGGTATGGGACGTTTTCAACTCCGAGGCTGGGCAGGTGATGGCATATTTGAAGGCCAAGCTGATCAGTGTCACCCAAGAATTGAACCTGATTAAGAGTGGGTCCAAGATGGGTGCTCAGGCTTTGGAGGAGAAAAACGGAAAGGAATTGTTCAGAAAAAAGGTGGAGAAGTACATCCAGGAGATCTGCCTGATGAAGGTGGATTCTGACCTATGGGAGATGATAAGAGATTACGAAGAAGAGGAAGGAAGGAGTAAAGAGGTGAGGAGAAATTGAGAAGAAAGCAGCGTGGCAAGTAAGCCAAAGCAGACAGTCACGAGATACGCTGTGAGCAAGCCAAAGGAAGTGAAGAAGGGTTTGACCATGGAAGAGAAAAAGGAGGACGGACAGGTAAAGTAGCTTGACATTTCAAAGCCATGCTAACTGCTGATCTAGTGTAGTGTTGGTGATCACATGCGTTTGTATCAGAGGAGGTTGATGGGAGGAGCTATAGAAGTATGGGCTCGTAATTGCTGGAATGGAATAAATGGAACGGAGTCAAATGTGGTTTCCATATGATTGTGTGTGTGATACCGTTCCCTTTATTCCATTCTAGCCATTACAATGAGCCTGTCCTCCTATAGCTCCTCCCACCAGCCTCATCTGGTTTGTACATGTTGTATTTGTTGCCCTAGCTGCCCATCTGATAACATCCATTAATTCAGGTGGTGTTGAAACGTCGATTTGGGATGAGTGCAGCCAACTCCAAGCTGAAGCAGTGTGAGCACTGCGGCCGGTGCTTTGATCCTAGCCGCCTGGAGAAACACAGCGAGATCTGTGCCAAGCTCTCTTCCAATAGCTCTAGACGGGGGGTCTATGACTCCACCAAGCACCGGCTCAAGGGCACTGTAATGGCCGGCTACATGAAGCGATCTGTGGTGTGATGCACCAAGGGACCAGAGTCTGTTGCTCTTTTGTATTTTGGATTGAACAGACAGACAGACATACAGTGACTGCTAAACCACCTGCTGCCCAAAAGAGGACATCTACTTTGGAATCTGTGAGGGTTCCAATAAGAGGCAGTACTACTAGGAGGCAGTATTGTATCCAGAACCATCTAAACCAACAGTGTTCAGCAGTTCCTCAAATCTACAGAAACACCTGTGTAAAACACTCATCTAAATCATTCTGTCAGATGTGTTACTAGTACAGGAAAGTATAATAAATGAAATATTAAAAAACAAGGGAATGTATTTGTCAAATCTGAATATGAAAAGGAGTGAAAAAATTATAATATGAATTGGCAAAATGAAGAAAGAAACTAATTGATTTAGTTGTATAACATGCCAAACTTACACAAATAACTGAAGTTGGTCAGCTTTTGACAGCTTAATCCTTTGTTTCTCTGCATAATCCATAGATGATTACAATTATAATTTGATGATGTCTGCTAGACTAGTTGACTGACCTGTAGGGCAGGCAGAATCCCGTGTCTCCCTTCTCCACCTCCTCCTTGAACTGCTGCACACAGTCCAGGAAGGCCACCATGGCATGGTCAAACTTGTTGTCCCAGAAGAAGCGTAGGCCCCCTGAACAGTACAGTGGTAGCTCCTACACACACAAAGAGGAAAGAGAGAGTGGAATGTACCATTACAACATGGCCTATTCATGGGGGTTGGCTTGGGCCAGTCTAATGAGTATTGCAAAATAATATTAAAAGGATAGTTCACTCTTTCACAGCTCATTAAACATATAGTATCCAGTGGTAAGTGTGTTCATGTGCCTTTTGGTTTGAGACCTCACTTGTTGGTAACAACCATTACCTTGGACTTGTCTGTAAGTGACTCCAGGTAAGAGTGGTTTCCATATGGGACCAGGCGGTATCTATAGAGAGAGGTTCAAGAAATTCACCAAGATATTTTACATTATTTTAATGACATTGTACAATGTATCATGTTTATTTGGATATGACAAAAGAACTGATTAAAATACAGTTACTTCTTTGGCAATTGAACATATTACATGGCGTAAAAGGGTGTGTGCCACGTCTATGTCCTTGTGTGTGTGTGTCATGTCTGACCTCTGGAAGCGTAGCCCCATCTTGTTGGCGAGGGCGTGGAGCAGTAGCACGGTCTGACCCCAGGCGGCGTTGATCTCATTCCACTCAACGGGGACACTGGGTAGTCGGCCCAGACGGAAGTTGTTGATAGTGCCAAACTGGCCACTGTGCCTGGGGACCAGAGACAAAGTTATTATCAGCACTAGAAACTATCAATGTAAAAGATGCCGTTCAAAATTCTATGTGAAGACAAGATGAGGGGTGAGAGAGAGGCAGCTGTGCTTTCATTCTAAATACAAGCAAGCAAGCGCCACCACTTCAAACAGAGGAGCTTAAGTCGCTAAACTAACATACATTTGGTCAATAATTCATGGGTGTTTGTCCATTTGTGCGTCTGAATTTTAGTGTATGTATACGTGTCTGTAATGCGTCAGAGTATGTGTCCTTACCAGATGTGGAAGGTGGCGTTGAAGACGTTGGTCTTCTTCAGGCGGTCCAGTTGGATCTGGCAGTAGCGCATTTGGTTGTCCACACTCTTCAACTCGTCATCCAGCTCCAGCTGCTGCCGCTTGAACTCACTGTACTCCTTCTGGTACCTGGAGCACACGGACACACATCACTCACACAGGCCAGGGGAGGATAAGGGATTCATTTGTGAAATTGAATTATATCGTGCAGAGAGTAGGGGTCGATCTGGAGTCTCCCTCTTCCCATTCTCCTGTCTTGCAAAATGCAGCGTTTCCCAAACTTGGTCCTCAGGACCCCAAGAGGTGCACGTTTTGGATTTTGCCATAACACTACACAGTTGACTCAAATGATCAAAGCTTGATGATTAGTTGATTATTTGATACGGCTGTTTACCGCAAAGACAAAAACCAAACACGAGCACCCCTTGAAGTCCAGAGGACCGAGTTTGGGAAACCCTGCTGGATACATTCTCAGAATGTGTGTTTTTGCATGTTCCCAGTAGGGTGAACGGTGTCCCATTCATTTCTTTACTATGTGCATAAGGTTGAGATGGAGGACTTCACAAGCTCATTTTACGTTCTACCTGTGAGACAGCATGACAGCCGCCACAGCCAAAGTGCTTTGAACTTGGAAATACATCATCCAAAATTCCTCAGACTGGAGAACAGACAGCCATTACTCACTGCAGTTCCTCAGTGTCTAGCTGCTGGGAATGGCTGCGTCCCTGGACCAGGTCCTCAGCCACGGCAGCCCTCTGCTCTTCCACCGCCTCCAACTCCCCCACCAGTGACTCCTCCTCCTCGCCCAGTTTCTGGAGTTCCAGCAACAGGCTGTCCTCCTCGTCCTCCTGCAGCTGGGACAGCAGCTCCAGGCAGTTCCTAGAAGAGGACACACACCATATTCAGACAAGGATATAGACACATGAAAAACACGAAACCCGGCCGCGTCATGAAAAGTTGTGCGTGCAGTTCGTCATTACAAACCTCTGTTTACCTAGCAGTGGATACAATCACATGCAACTTCAAATGCAGCTCATGCAAGTTAACAAACACGTAATCAGATGTTATCGTCCACAACGTCGCAGATGTCAGAGGATTGATTACCTAGCAAGCCAGTGAGGCAAGGTAAAATATCACAAATAGAGCTAGATAAAGCCAGAAGAATAAGTGAACTTGTTTTACATAGCTATAGCCCTCAGTCTTCCGTGTCTTCACTCACTCACTGTTAACTTTAGCGTCAGCGATCCTGCTACAGAGCTTTTTGGTGTGGTGACACTGATGGTTTCTCTGAAGTGATGGCTTCTATGGTTGTGGCTAGATGGAGTACAGCATTTTAGCCTAACCCTTTTTCTTAACTTAATTATCCTAACCTGCTACTTTAATTATCCTAACCTGCTATGTAAATTCTCCATCTAGCTAGCCACAACCGTAGAAGCCATCAGTTCTGAGAAACCATCAGTGTCACCACACCGGGATGCGCACGCAAGAATCGAACATGAACAAGAAATTGCCCCATACATACAGACATCAAAAACACACATATACACACACATGATTCAAGCATGCAAATAAGTGATCCTTTTGATGCACAATATTGCTCCAGGCAACAAAATATTGGTGTAAACTGAGCCCTCGTGGGTCTTGGCTCCCTGCCTAAGCAAATATTTATTGGGCAAACCTGCTATGTGTTGCATAGTGTAGTACACTTTGACTACCCACTAGTTCTGTAATGTTAGTTTAGTAGCAGTGCATGACTACTCACTTGTAGTTCTGGCACTCATTCTCTGTGATGTTGAGCTGCGTGTCCAGGTGGTCTAGCAGGGTGTCTGTACACTCCTCGCACAGCGGGTGGTCTACGTCGGTCTGGCCCGACATGATGTCAAACAGATCACTGGTCACCTTCAGCCTCCGACTGAGGTTCTCCATGGTGCCCCCGTCCGACGCTTCTCCAATCAGAGTGAAGCTGTTGGCGCTCTCTGTGGACATCATCCTACGCACGCACACACACACACTGTTGAAACTATGTAGGTATCATCCTAGATCTAGAGGGTATGGTAGTTCAAGTTGAGAGCAGGGCATTACACTGTAGGCCAAGCAGGTTGGAAGGTAGTTAGACTTGATGCTACCTTGCAGGAGGGATGTATTTTCTTGCGACGCCATCTTGCTTTGTTTCCACAAAGGTTTCCTGGAGGAAGAGAGGAAACTCAGAATCCCTGTCAGTGTTTAAAACTCAATTTCTATTAAGGATATTGCTGTGAACCCTGGTTACAAAACCATCTTCCCATTGGATTGAAACAACCCAGTGTCTCTCACCTCTGGAGCCCTTTCCCCCTCATTGCTTTCTGTCTGCTTGCTTGGTGTCACTGTGACCAGAGGAGCTGATGGGACAGAAGACACACAGACTCACAACGCTGATCTCCATCTCTTCCTCTGTAGCTCTCTCCAAAGCGTGCGCATACACACACGCACCCACACACACGCTCTCTCTCTAGCTCTCAAACATACACTCAGGTAAACATACCAATAAGTTCCTGGATGGTGACACGGTCGAGCACATTGAAGGATGTGTCCAGCTTGAGAGGCTGACTGCAGCGCTGACACACGAAGCTGACCTGCATGGTAGTACTAGAGGACTTGGAGCCCTCCATTGCAACACTGGAAACAGAATGAACAGTGTTAGCTGGTAGACAAACTACTCGTGACTGGTGGTTTTGCTAGCACAGTTTAGCTTACCCCATTCATTGACGCTAACTACTTGTTGGGTTCTATTTTCTAAATAATTGGATTGATGGGATGACTAACTTAGAAAGAATGCATTCTTGACTGGGCTAATGTAGGTTGTGACACCTGGCAGGCTGTGATTGATGTGAAGAGCTGTTTTAGGGGGTAAAGGGAGATAAGGATTTGTGTCTCCAAATGCCAGACTATACTGGTTCTTTGTGATCTGTGAACCTTCCTTGGACGTAGGAATGGTGTCTAAGGGAGCTGGCTCTTCTCACTATGACAGCTTGTTATGATATGGACATATGCCTGGTAACAGAGATGCATCAACGGATTGACTGAGTAAGTCTAAACCACGCTCAAGTCTCTACTCTAATTGGTCAGCAGAGAGGTGGGAAACTCCCTCTGTAAGAGTATTTGAGCAAGAACCCAGAACAATGGGTTAGTTCTCTGGGGTGCCCTGCGAGGTATCTCAGAGAGCCCGTATATACGAAACATCATATTTACCATTGAAGGTTTTTGCATTAATTAAAATAACTAGTATATCTTAGAAGTCGTGTTGACCTCTTTTGTTCCTAATACCAGGTTTGAATTGACGCGACTTTGACATACTTTAGCGCCTATTGACGATAGTATCTTCTCACCGGGTGTGTTTTGTTAAGAACCCTGCTCTAAACATTAACATGCATCGCTTGCGGTACTGTTTTGGAAACATAAGGAACATACCTTTCATATCAGAGAGAAATAATTGGCAAAAAACTAAAGGTAAATGACTACACCTTTATAGCGTTAGGGTTCCCACACGGCCATATTTCCATATTACAGCGCTTGTTTACGGAAAACAGACTGAAGACAGTGGACTGACTACCTGTGTTAATTAACTATCTGTGTCTCCGAACACCTGTGTGTAAAGGGAAGATGACGCCACAAACGTGGGGTGTAATCATTAGTCCAAATAGATGCAAAACTTCAGTTTTACAACTAAAACAAGAGTTTCTATTGGACAAATTCAGGTAGGTCCATCCACGTTTCGTTCCGTTTAAGAAACGTTTTGCAATAGAATCGGCGGAATTAATACATCCATGTAACGTTAGTCATTGAAAAATATTGTCGGCTGCAACTGTGTTAAAACAATGTACAAGTGTGTATTTTGCATTTGTGAAATTATTTTTGATGAAAGTACAGGTATTTATCTTTATAGAACCGTACCGCAATTGAGAATCGATGAATGCTTAAATGTTGCCTTCCAGAGCCATTTTGCCTTTAAACAGAACATGTACGGTCCAACCTTGGACTATATAAGAAGTCATGTTATAATTAGCTAGGCTCCTTTAGAACATTATATTGGGCTAATGTTAGCTAACAGTAGCTAGCTGGCTAAAATACGGTACTAACTCGGCGGTGACATTTCAGTTGAAAACAACACAATGTGAGTAGCAAAGACTCATATTTATTTATATTTCAACAACAAAGAGACTTAAGTATTTCAAAATATATATTTTCTTACCCGAGGACTTCCTTTATTGTTGTTTTTAACGGATATGACGCCTTTAACATTGCTCGCGAAGGGTTGTGGTCACGCGCCAAAATAGTTGCGGGAAAACCAAACTCAATCGAGGAGAGAAGCAAACTACAGAAGTACTGTAAAGTTGTACTATTTTCTTCATTCGTTCAGTATTTGTGTCAGATGTAGTGTTATAAGATGTATTTGCTCTATAGGTGATCTTATTGAAATGAAACTGTCTCGTCATTCATTACATTATTATGCCTGTCTCCACTCAAACTCGAGTTGTGTAATTGGCGCTAACTAACTAGCCACAGCAACAACAGTGTGTAACGTTAGTGCCCGCCCGTGTAGTTGTTGTTAGCTAGCTAGCATGCAAGGACACTGACACACTAGTCTTCATCTTTTTATATATTTGGCAAATTAATAAACTCTTTACGAATAACAAAATATTGCTATTAGTTAACGTTACAACACTTAACTAGTAGGAATGTAAGGCTCGATTAAATCAGATCCGCTTCTTTAGCCAACATCAGCATAGCGGTTGTTTTGACGTGTTGGTGGAACCGTTTATGCCACGTTCAAAACAACTGGGAACTTGGAAGAAAACGAGCTCCGACTGGGAAAAATCGTTTTGAATAGTCATCCAACTCGGGACTCTTTTTAGAGCTCCGACCTGAAGATCACTGACATCATAATTTGACCTCGTATTTTTCCGAGTTCCCAGTTGTTTTAAACGCGGCATTAGACCTGTCAAATCCACAAGTGGCTCCCAGAATTATACCTAAAGCGGACATTGCCATTGGCTGCGGGAGTTGCAAAAACAGAAATTATATGCAGCCTTGTTTACACAAATTCGAACACTGGAATGTGAGATTTAATCTACACCTGGATTAGGATTATAGAAACTTCATTATTTAGTTTAACGATTGTTCATTTTGAGGATAATTATTTCTACACGTTCTGAACTTCTAATGCCTAGTTCACATTCACCATAGGCACTCCATTATGTTGCGCCGGATGTCATTCATTTAAATGGAGACGTCCACGACTGAGTGGAATCACAATTCCCCCCTTGCGGTTGAATGCTCCGTTGCTAGACCAACACCGCATACTTCAGCCAGTGACCAAACCACAGAAAAATTGGAAAATATGTGGTTTTCAGTGGTGGCTTTATGGGGTAGCTAGCAACTTGTAAACAATTACTCATTCCTGTAAGTGAGTACTATTTTAATAATAATGTTAAATAATACACATTGGCTGTTAAAACAACTATATTATGAGCGTTGTCTCCCGTTTTAAGTTTGATGGCAATAACGTTTTTTTGTGTGTGATAATTATTAGGTGGAGGTTGCTAGCTACAGTGGTATCTTTAGCCTAGCTTTTAGCTAGTTAGCTGCTCTGCAAGCTAGCTTGACTTGCCATAAAGTTAGAGAAACATCTAAAAACATTTTTTATAAATAAAAGTCCCCCACAAGTTATTAATTTTTTGTCCACATATGGCGCGCGTGCGGGACTTTTATTTTGACATGTTTGGAAAGCCTGTTTAATAATATGTTCCTTTAGATATTTTATCTCAAATTCCCTGTGTCATAATGACCAACCGTCCTGTCCTGCCCACCAGCACAATAACTTGAAATGAAATGTTATTTAACTTCTGGCTTCCTGTTGACTGTTTTTGTGCAACCCTATACAATACGAGCAAAGTTAGTTTACTAAATTCACCAGTGATGCTTATAGCAGCTAGTAGGAACTTAGATAGCTAGGAAATCAACTTGCTAGTAAAAGCGCCAATGCTTGTCGTTTTCAGGATGGTCAGAAACTAATGAAATCTCCCATTACTTAGTTACATTTGTGCTGCACATGAGAAAATGAACACCATGAAATCCCCGAAGGCTGAAGATGTCAGACAGGGGATCTCTGTCATCTGGGAGATCTTGCAGTGTCCAATATGGTGAGTGTGACAGCAGAATAACGTTAGCCATCTATAGAAGGTTACTGTATTGTGTAAGGTGTGTTGATGTTACATATGCTTTTGGTGGTAGTTGACTGTTTACTATGCAGGTTGTTTCTACTTTATGTTGAAATCAATTGTTGTCTTATAAACAGTTGGAAGTAGGCAATTACGATCCTGTTCATAGTTTGTTCTTCTGCTCTATGCTCTCTGTTCCATGTAGTTTGGACTTGATGACCACACCTGTGTCTACAAAATGTGACCACCAGTTTTGCAAGTAAGTAGGCTTTCACTTTCTTTGCTGTGGTCCAAATCAACTTTACTGCTGGTTCATTCTGTAGTGTAGGTGAATGTTTGTAAGTGATTTTAAAGTTTATTTTCAATGACAGTGTTACGCATTGACATCTCCCACTAACCTGGCAGTGTTTTACATTGTTCAAGCACTCACAGTTGTTGCTCTCTCTATGAATAGGTTTTGTATGATGAAGCTTTTGGACAGCAGTAGGAGAAAGGAGGCCAACTGTCCAGTTTGTAAGACAAAGATCACAAAAAGGTATGCTGTATTGACTGTAGAGGAATAACACGTTCATTATGAGAGTGAATGTGTCAGTGAGATATGTTTAAAAGGAAATGTGTACTATACTGTACTTCTCAAAAGGTCTCAATGTTTTGAATTATTCTGCCATAATGAATCATACTCTGGGTGTAAGCCTGTTTACTTTGTTTCCTGGTAACCAGTGACTACGTGTCATTTACAGTGGGGGAAAAAAGTATTTAGTCAGCCACCAATTGTGCAAGTTCTCCCACTTAAAAAGATGAGAGAGGCCTGTAATTTTCATCATAGGTAAACGTCAACTATGACAGACAAAATGAGGAAAAAAATTCCAGAAAATCACATTGTAGGATTTTTTATGAATTTATTTGCTAATTATGGTGGAAAATAAGTATTTGGTCAATAACAAAAGTTTCTCAATACTTTGTTATATACCCTTTGTTGGCAATGACACAGGTCAAACGTTTTCTGTAAGTCTTCACAAGGTTTTCACACACTGTTGCTGGTATTTTGTCCCATTCATCCATGCAGATCTCCTCTAGAGCAGTGATGTTTTGGGGCTGTCGCTGGGCATCACAGACTTTCAACTCCCTCCAAAGATTTTCTATGGGGTTGAGATCTGGAGACTGGCTAGGCCACTCCAGGACCTTGAAATGCTTCTTACGAAGCCACTCCTTCGTTGCCCAGGCGGTGTGTTTGGGATCATTGTCATGCTGAAAGACCCAGCCACGTTTCATCTTCAATGCCCTTGCTGATGGAAGGAGGTTTTCACTCAAAATCTCACGTTACATGGCCCCATTCATTCTTTCCTTTACACGGATCAGTCGTCCTGGTCCCTTTGCAGAAAAACAGCCCCAAAGCATGATGTTTCCACCCCCATGCTTCACAGTAGGTATGGTGTTCTTTGGATGCAACTCAGCATTCTTTGTCCTCCAAACACGACAAGTTGAGTTTTTACCAAAAAGTTATATTTTGGTTTCATCTGACCATATGACATTCTCCCAATCCTCTTCTGGATTATCCAAATGCACTCTAGCAAACTTCAGACGGGCCTGGACATGTACTGGCTTAAGCAGGGGGACACGTCTGGCACTGCAGGATTTGAGCCCCTGGCGGCATAGTGTGTTACTGATGGTAGGCTTTGTTACTTTGGTCCCAGCTCTCTGCAGGTCATTCACTAGGTCCCCCTGTGTGGTTCTGGGATTTTTGCTCACCGTTCTTGTGATCATTTTGACCCCATGGGGTGAGATCTTGCGTGGAGCCCCAGATCGAGGGAGATTATCAGTGGTCTTGTATGTCTTCCATTTCCTAATAATTGCTCCCACAGTTGATTTCTTCAAACTAAGCTGCTTACCTATTGCAGATTCAGTCTTCCCAGCCTGGTGCAGGTCTACAATTTTGTTTCTGGTGTCCTTTGACAGCTCTTTGGTCTTGGCCATAGTGGAGTTTGGAGTGTGACTGTTTGAGGTTGTGGATAGGTGTCTTTTATACTGATAACAAGTTCAAACAGGTGCCATTAATACAGGTAACGAGTGGAGGACAGAGGAGCCTCTTAAAGAAGAAGTTACAGGTCTGTGAGAGCCAGAAATCTTGCTTGTTTGTAGGTGACCAAATACTTATTTTCCACCATAAATTGCAAATAAATTCATTAAAAATCCTACAATGTGATTTTCTGGATTTTTCTCTCTCAATTTGTCTGTCATAGTTGACGTGTACCTATGATGAAAATTACAGGCCTCTCTCATCTTTTTAAGTGGGAGAACTTGCACAATTGGTGGCTGACTAAATACTTTTTTCCCCCACTGTACAATTGGGTCAAATGTGTTATTTGACCCTGTTGTCTGTGTGCAGGAGTTTGCAGGAGAGCCCTGGGTTCCAGAGATTGTCCGAGGGATTGCAGAATATGGTCCAGGCCTATGAACATGACACCTGCACAAACTGTGAGCCACATTGTTTAGCTTCCATCATCAAAACATGTTACTATACTACCGTATTTTCCGCACTATAAGGCGCACCGGATTATAAGGCGCACCTTCAATGACTGGCTTATTTTAGAACTGTTTTCATATATAGGGCGCACCGGATTATAAGACGCATAGAATAGAAGATAGTCAAACGATTGACTGGGGTTGCGTTATGCATCCACTAGATGGAGCTGTGCTAAAGGGAATGTCAACAAAACAGTCAGATAAAGTCAAACTTTATTAACATTTACATTTTAGTCATTTAGCAGACGCTCTTATCCAGAGCGACTTACAGTTAGTGCATACATTATTTTTTATACCCCCCGTGGGAATTGAACCCACAGCCCTGGTGTTGCAAACACCATGCTCTACCAACTGAGCTACATCCCTGCCGGCAATTCCCTCCCCTACCCTGGACGACGCTGGGCCAATTGTGCGCCGCCCCATGGGTCTCCCGGTCGCGGCCAGCTACGGCAGAGCCTGGATTAAGCGTTCTGACAACTCCGTTCACTCCCATGGTAACGTTGTTCAAACGTTAATGTGCATATTAACAATATCTCCCAGCCTTGCTCACTCTTCTCCCAAACGTGGAGGGGAACTTTTCCCTGATTCAGTAAACACGTAGTAAAAGAAACAGTCTGATACCACTAAATCAAACGTTAGTGCATAACTCAACATTGTTCAGTTACGTATAACACGTAAAGCTCACTTTTTCAGTTCATTCCCCGTCCACGAATCCCTCGAATTCTTCTTCTTCAGTGTCCGAATTGAACAGTTGGGCGACTACGGCATCCAACCTGCCCGGCTCCCTCTCGTCATTATCCGAGTCAGTGTCGCTGCTGTTGCCTGGCAGTTTAGAGATTAGTCCTGCCTTCGTGAAAGCTTGGACCACAGTTGAGACTGATATATCAGCCCATTGATTCATTAATGTTGAATTCTCTCGCTGCTGCTCTATTCCCATATTCTACTGCGTGACCGACAGCCTTGAGCTTGAACTCTGCGTCGTAAGCGTGTCTCTTGAAAGCTGCCATTTTGGGGTCTTTATACACAGACAAGTGGTGTGGGACTGTGAGTAAGCACAGTACCGGTGTTTACTGACAACGGTAGCCGTAATGCTGCAAGCGGTGCGGCTTTGTAGTTTACCAGTCGTACTGAAACATTTCATTATTATTAAATTGTTTTTATTGGTTTTTCATACTGAAACATTTTGACAGAGCGCCTTGAGCGGCGTGTACAACCAGCATGGATCAACCAATTAACCAATTGATCCATATATAAGGCGCTCCGGATTATAAGGCGCACTGTCGTTTTTGGAGAAAATTAAAGGCTTTTAAGTGCGCCTTATAGTGCGGAAAATACGGTATATGTAATGTTTGAAATGTGCTAGAATTTTGATAATGATGACTTACAGTTTGACTGTAAGATTCTATCTTTTTTTCAGACTTCACTGGAATGTCCCAGGTGAGGAGACATATGAGGTAAGGACAGTAGCACCGAAAAATAATAGAGCTAGTTTCAATAAAGACGTGGTACATTTACTTACAATAAGTATTTTTATATCTGTTGTCACTCCTGCATATTTTTCAAATGAATTAGTATTTCATTCAACATGTCCTTCCATCTTTCTCCTCTAAACAGTGTCACAGAGACTGTGCAAAAGAAAAACGGCCATGATGTCTCATCTGATGAAGTGTGGGCTACTGACCATGCCGATGACGAGGATCAAGGGCCTCATCAGTTTCCAATGTCCTGCTCGTCAACTATAGCAGGTGAGAGATTTTAATTTGGGTATGGTGTGTTGTCAATTTTCCTGTAACAATTCCTTAATAGCATTATTGATGGACAGCTGTATTAGAATAACTCATTTTTCAAAATAATAGGGTATATTTCATTCATTGAAATTACTGAAAGTCTTAGAATGTGTCTTTTAAAAGCATACTTTTCACATGATTATTTAAGCATGTGAAATATTATGAGTGTTGTGTTGTTAGTCACTGCCATGCCTCTCTCTTCAGCCAAGGATGGCTTTGCAAAGCTCATGGGTCTTGAAGATTCTTGCCCTGTCATTTCGGACGAGGGGTTTGACAGCGGCCTAGGTGACATACCTCCAGCCTCTGAAAAGGAAACCGACGACTCTAAAGCCACCTCCACCACAGATAAACAGAAGCCAGCATTAGAGACAGAAATACCTGAGGTTGTTGAAAGAGCTCCTTCACGACCTCAAAAGCTTGGGAAAAAGATAACCACTAATCCTCAAGATCCACCATGCCATCCTGAAAAGGTCGAAAACCAACTTGTCAGACGATCTTCGAGGAATAACAAAAGAGAGTCCTTGACCAAAATGATTGACCAGAATCAGAAGAAAAGTCTAGAAAAAGTATCTGAGTGGCTCATGAAGAATTCCTCAACGGAAGAAAATTCTAAGAAGGAGAAAAACACAGAGGGCTCTTATGACTCCGTGTCTCTGGCAGGAAGTTGTTCCCCCTCCTCACCCTTAGAGGATAACCTCAGAAATAAGGACGAGATTCCAAAGAGAGAAGGACATGGCAAATGTCTTGAGGCGCTGGTATTTGGGGCTGTTTACAAACGAGATCGAAGAGGGAACCGCAGTTATTCACCACAAAACAAAGCGATCACAGACCCTCCACCACCCTGTCCAGCTGAGGAACTCCAGATCCTGAAGAAGATTGCCAAAAGGAGGATGAGCAGTAAACTGACACCTGCTGACTTTGTCAAGAGACCAAGATCTGAGGAGAATGAAAACAGTCTCATGGATGACCAACGAGAGATGACAGAACCACAAGAGGATTCTCCCAATGAACACCCAAAAGATACTGAAGAAAAGATGATTGACCTGACTGAGGAGCTGAATTCTAATAGCTCTGACAAGCAAGGAGAAGAGCTTGATGAGTTGCCAGAAGGTGACAACAAAGATAATGAAGATGTTGAGGACAGTCCTGTGTTCGATGTGCCACTACGGAAACCTGGGAGGAAATCGAATAAAAAGATGCACGGTAGGTGGCAGGACGTCGACGGGGATTTGCAAGCGCAAGGGAAAGTAAAGTCAGAGAATAACAAGCAAAAAAAGCCTGGCAAGAAAAAAGGGGAAAACATCCAGGCGGAAAAGAGCAAGGCAGCCAAATCCTTAGTCCTTGTGGGTGTCGGAGAGGGTGGAAGTGACCCTAAGATACCTAAGAGCAGACCAACGTCAGGCCAGATTGAGGTTCAGATTGAGAGTTACCCTAGCAGTGAGGACCCAGGAAGCCCGATCATGAGGAGAACCAGGAGGAGTCGGAGGCTTCAGCTCTTCACAGAGGAAGTACAAGGGAGTAACAAGAAGATCGGCACTGCAAGATCCACAAAGGTTGTCATTATTGATTCAGACTGCAATGAGATGCAGCAATCAGAGGAGGCGAAAGCTGACACTGACGTGGATAATGTGGCTTGTTTGCAGAACCAAAATACAGAAAAGTCTGTAAAGAAAAACGGATGTGTTTTAAATGAAGAGATGGGAGGTATTGAGAACTTGGAGTCTAGCGAGAAAAGATCCAGTGAAATGATTGAGGCACAGAAAGTGAACCCGGTTGAGGAGTCTATTGTTGAAGTCCCAACTACAGGAAGTCCTTGTCACGCTGATATTGCTTGTTCAGTGGCTATGTTACAAAGTTCAATTAGTACCCCTGAGGCAAGTGTCTCATGCTCTGTGCCTGAGAGTGTAAACCAAAGTAATCCGGTTATCAAACCATTAGATGACTTGAGATCAAATGTACCACAGGAGACGTCAGCCAGCCAGGCCAAATGCATTGATATGGAGGAGGATGACCGGAATGACAGTGAGCTGGACACTGAGCAACTGCTGAAGAGCTTCAAAGCCACCAAAAGGAAATCCTTCCACCTTGGTAGTCCAAATATCAAGAGGAGTTCCTTCTGGTCCAACAAGGAAAATACAACTCTTACAAATACTCAAGAGAACAAACATGTCGGCACAGATATGGAAGCAGAAAATGGGCAGGGATTTCCAAGGACAATGGAGTGTCCCACGGTCCAGCAGGAATCTGGGAAAAGGACAGTATTAGAAAATTCTTGCTGTAGTGATTTGAGCCCACCTTCAAGTTCCCCCAACCATATTTCACGAGAAGAAGCGCAGAGAAATCGTAAAAGGCTCAGAAAGTCAGTTCTTACCAGACCACCTCAGGAAGTAGTGGAGTCTTCAAACCCTGATGCCAATGGGAAGACCCAGAAACAGATTCTGGCCAGGCTTTCTGGCAACAGCTCAAGAAGTGCCCTCAGTCCCAACAACAAAGTCGCAAAAAGTCAAATGGAATCTCCCCACCAAGCTGTGGGTTCTGGTCTGCTCTTTCCAGCTTTTGGCACCTCTGAGGAAGATCTACCAGATCCGACGCCTGTAGCTTCAAAGAGTCAGCAGCCATACGAAGTGGAGAGCAGCATTAGGAAAAGTCCAACAGAACTGGAGAGTAGCCACAGTGTTGGACCAGAGACTGTAGTGGAGCCAAACAAAATGTGGCCAGAGAACATGACTGGAAACATGGCCAATACAGAGTCCTCCTTGACTCCAGAGGACCTCCTTCCTCTAATTGTCCAATCAGTAGTTATCCAAGAGGCAGAGAGGAGTAAAGGAAGTGGCGAGGTCAGCACACACTCTCCCATCAAGAGCAGCCTAAAGCAGAGGAAGAGGAGGAAGGCTCAGAGACTGGAGTCTTCCTCGGAGTCCGACTGCAGTGGGGAGGAAGAGGAACTGCCTTCCCTTGCGCAAATTTTCAGACCTTTGGCTTGTCCACCAACAGCTGTGGAGGAGGAGGAGGAATCGGTCACATTGCTCGAAGACCATGCCAGGGAACAAGGAAGCTACAGGGAGGCTGGTGATGGTACCTGTGCTGCAGCTGAAGATGGGCAGCGAGAGGGCAGTCCTCCCCTGTGCCCCAGTCCCGAATGGATCACCACCAGCCAGGCATCTGTGGACCTGTTTGGCACACCAGAAGAAGGTGAGTACATTTGAGGCCTTATTATATTAATCTTATTAGCTGTGATTGAACTGAGACTGAAACATGAAACGCCCAAATACACTTTCAATTGTTTCTAATCTTTCAGCTGAAGGTATGGCAGGTGACACTGGCCTGACACAGGAATCATCACAATTTTCAAGCGAATTTATTGCCACTCAGGTAAGGATATTTATACTCCGTAACTCATAGGTTACTAGACAGTAGACATTAACAACCAAGTTATAACTTACTTTGATTTATTGTCATTGTTTAACAAAAGGAAACCCTAGTGTGTAAATCTCACATGGGGTAGTGATGTAGATTTTTATATATCTTCATCTCAGCTAAGCATAAATGTTTTCTCTGTATTTTTGCCAATGTTTTCCAGCTAATTTAATACTCTACACGTGTCACACCAATCTTTGGTACATATGTAGCTATGATTTTAAAATGTAAATATGGCCCTCCATATTTACATTTTACATTTTAGTCATTTAGCAGACGCTCTTATCTAGAGCGACTTACAGTTTAGTGAGTGCATACATTTTTCATACTGGTCCTCCGTGGGAATTGAACCCACAACACTGGCGTTGCAAGCGCAATGCTCTACCAACTGAGCTACACGGGACAAGCAGTAGTAGTTTGCAGTACTGTATGCTTTGTGCTGCGTTGGCACGCCATGTCCAATAGATGGCAGACGTTGCATATTTTTTTTGCACCAAGCTGTCAATGCTTGGAAGATCGACTACATGGACGCATAAAGAATGTCCCCCTCAGCATCTTTCTAAATTGCATTTCTTTTATGTTTGAGGAAATTATTCTCGTTTTCTGCCCCATCCATCTTCATGCACTCCTACTTTTATCTGTCTGCTGTATTTGATTGGGAGTTTGGTTTATGTGGTTTTAGGCAGCGGGGAGGAGAGGAGTTTCGAGGCAGGTTTATTCACAGCTATACACCCAGTTGAGGATTGGGTCTCTCTGACAAGTGGGTGTCTGTGTCTACAAGCGTCCATGCACGCTTGCGTGTGCGCAAGTGTTTGGAGATATGACTACAGTATATGTTACTCCGATAGAAAATGATCTCATACATCCCATCTCTTGGCCTCATAGAGGATTTACTCACCAGTTGTCACTCTGGGTCTGTCTGGTTTTGGCTCAATGCTCAGTCATGGTCAGTGAGTAATGAGCTTAGCCAAAGCCCTGACACATCTAGGGGGCCATGGGCATGGCTGCAAGCCTTTTGGGGCTGGGTGTCTTCCATATCTGTGCTGAACCGTGGACCCCTAGGTCTTCCCCTCAGACAAATGACTGCACCCCAGCTTACACCGTGTGTGTGTGTGTGCATCTCTGTATGTCTCCCTCACTTTTTTTTACCTCTCTCTCTCTCTCTTTCTATCTTCCTCCTCTCCATCCCTCTTTGTCATTTTCCCTCTCTTTGATGAAGTGTTCAGTGCTTCAAGCAAGTTTACGCTGCAAACGCCAGTAATGCTGCATGTTAGAAAATCCATCCTTAATGTTTGATTCTGTCACCACCAGTCGAATGACATTTCTAGCACCGTCCTCTCCTAGTTGATGGATGTTTTCTATTGTTTACCCATATCAGCGTAAAGGCAACAGATGCGTTAGAACTTTCACACACACACACACACTATATATACAAAGATATGTGGACACCTTCAAATTAGTGGATTTGGCTATCTCAGCCACACCCGTTGAGCACACAGCCATGCAATCTCCATAGACAAACATTGGCAGTAGAATGGCCTTACTGAAGAGCTCAGTGACTTTCAATGTGTCACCGTCATAGGATGCTACCTTTCCAATAAGTCAGTTCATCAAATTTCTGCACTGCTAGAGCTGCCCCGGTCAACTGTTATTGTGAAGTGGAAACGTCTAGGAGCAACAACGGCTCAGCCGCGAAGTGGTAGGCCAGACAAGCTCACAGAACGGGACCGACGAGTGCTGAAGCGCGTAGTGCGTAAAAATCGTCTGTCCTCAGTTGCAACATTCACTGCCGAGTTCCAAACTGCCTCTTGAAGCAACGTCAGCACAAGAACTGTTCGTCGGGAGCTTCATGAAATGGGTTTCCATGTCCGAGCAGCCGCACGCAAGCCTAAGATCACCATGCACAATGGCAAGTGTTGGAGCAGTGGAAACGCGTTCTTTGGAGTGATGAATCACGCTTCACCATCTGGCAGTCCGACGGACGAATCTGGGTTTGGTAGATGCCAGGAGAACGCTACCTGCCCGACTGCATAGTGCCAACTGTAAAGTGACATTCTAGACGATTCTGTGCTTCCAACTTTGTGGCAACAGTTTGGGGAAGGCTCTTTCCTGTTTCAGCAATACCCCTGTGCACAAAGCGAGGACCATACAGAAATGGTTTGTCAAGATCGGTGTGGAAGAACTTGACTGGCCTGCACAGAGCCCTGACCTCAACCCCATCGAACACCTTTGGGATGAATTGGAACGCAGACTGCGAGCCAGGCCTAATCGCCCAACATCAGTGCCCGACCTCACTAATGCTCTTGTGGCTGAATGGAAGCAAGTCCCTGCATCAATGATCCAACATCTAGTGGAAAGCCTTCCCAGAAGAGTGGAGGCTGTTATAGCAGCAAAGGGGGGACCAACTCCATATTAATGCCAATGATTTTGGAATGAGATGTTCGACGAGCAGGTGTCTCTGGAGGCGAAAGAAACGCACACCTGTTTAGGCGAGGTGCTGGCTAGCGGAGTAGAACGCCTGAAAAAGAAAAGGAGAGCCGCACACTCTAGGAGCTCAGATGCAATCATTTGATAACCTAATAACCAACGTTTCGACAGACAAGCTGTCTTCATCAGGGTATAATGACAAACACTGCGTGTCACTAGTTTAAATAGTTTCAAAGGACACACACAGGTGTCTGTGATCATGGCCGGGTGTGGCTTGATATCATTGGTTAATTTACGGATATAAATAGAACATATAAAAAAACATGAATGGATAGCATACGATCATAGAAACAATTTGGCTACATAGGCCTACAAACATTTACAAAATCACAATAATCACAAGAATGGCTTCAGATCAAAGTCTATGTTGAGACCGAAGGGAGCAAGGGTCTTTAAAATGAAAGATCCAGGCAGCCTCTCGTTTTAATAATAAATTGTCAAGGTCACCCCCTCTCCTAGGGAGGGTGACGTGTTCGATGCCGATATAAAGTAGGGATGAAATAGTGGTTCGCTTACAAAAAGTGGGCCGCAACACATCACCCTCCCTAGGAGAGGGGGTGACCTTGACAATTTATTATTAAAACGAGAGGCTGCCTGGATCTTTCATTTTAAAGACCCTTGCTCCCTTCGGTCTCAACGTAGACTTTGATCTGAAGCCATTCTTGTGATTATTGTGATTTTGCTATTCATTGTAAATGTTTGTAGGCCTATGTATTCAAATTGTATCTATGATCGTATGCTATCCATTCATGTTTTTTTATATGTTCTATTTATATCTGTAAATTAACCGTTGGTTATTAAATGATTGCGTCTGAGCTCCTAGAGTATGCGGCTCTATCTTTTTCGACAAGCAGGTGTCCACATACTTTTGGTCATGTAGTGTACATACACAAATACACACTAAGCAGGCGCTCAACCAATTATATCAGTCAGTTTCTCCCTTTCAATTGCTGTATATATTTTTCCTCATTCTGCTTCGCTCATCTATAGTTATGTATCGCTCTTGCTCTCCCTTTCTCTCCTTCAGCAAAAGGTTGCGATGCAGGAGGAGCTGCGGAGGCTGGAGAGAATGATGGTGCTGGTGTCTGAAGCGCTCCAGGAAAAGGAGGGGCCCACTGGGGCCAAAGTCAACCCCGGGGCCCCATATCTCCCAGCGCTGCCTCACCCAGACAGGTCCACAGGTACAGAACTGGGCTTTGTTCAGGAGGGTGCAACATAACTGACCGATCAGATAGAAATGTATTGTACTGAAGAGATTGTCGTGTAGAATAGGGAATCGTTTCAGTTCAGTCTACCTTTTAAGAAATATCAGCAGGGACTGGTTTACAGTATTGTTTGAAAGCTCTCTGCTTTCGAATGGCAGCTGACCTGAATTTGTTGGTTTTGTCTGTGAGTTTAGTTTCCTCAGGCCTCGATCTCCAGACGACCCTGCCGTGTGGCCAGGGCACCAGGGAGAGAGCTGCCAGCAGGTGAGCAAAGCCGGAGGTTAACAAGGCACCACACATTCACAACAGACTTCATGAAAGGATAGACGATTCAATGCTTCACTACACCATCACCTCGATAACCCGGTGCTGTTGGTTAGGTTTTGCTTACTACTTCATAAAATATTTGGGAGTTATTGAAAAATATAGATGTTATCGCAAATTAGCACAAATTAAGGCTGTGCAAGTAGAAAAATCCTAATTTGTGCGTTTTTAATTAAACTCAGTGCAACAGAAAACAGGGTCGTCCCCCACTGAGTTTAGAATGTAGGAAATCGCACTTAGATGATGGCAAGCTCACTTTTCATTCACAGCATGAGATGGAAGCACTATTATTGCCAGCTGCTTACTTATGAGCCATCACCACAACAGCAAGTTATCAGAATCTGCTGCTTATTGAGGCGCGACTTATGGAGGGGGGTGGGTGTCGTTGGCTGCAACCTTCAGGCAGTATATGCTCATTTCATCAGAATGGGGCCCTATATCAGCTTCACAGCCATTTTCAGGGCCCAAATTTCAACCTCAACATACCAATAATTGTAAGAGCGTTTGCCATGTAATTGCTCTCTCCCTCAACCTGTGACTGAGGGAAAGTCAGAGAAAGTTAGCTTGTGTTAGCTAGTATCTTTGTGTTAGCTAGCTCAGCGTCTGCCTGGTGCAGTTTTTTGGATAGAGGGTGATGCATCTCGGAGGACAGGCGGATAATCTCCCTAATGAAGCCGGAATCTGCTTATGCTGCGGAGAATCAAAAAGTAATTAGCGGCTGCATCTTATTTGTCATTTGGAGCACTTAGAGGGAAACTTGGGTTGCCACGGTAATTTATCTCTCCTGCTTGACTGCATCTCCCTATCTCTCCCTCCTCCCTCATCTCCAGGGTTCTAAGTGCTGTCCTCTGGGGGAGGGAGAAAGCAGGGCCGGCTCCAGGCATAAGCGACATAAGCGGTCGCTTAGGGCCCCCGGCCGCTAGGGGGCCCCCAGATTTTTTGGAACTCAGTCGGGGTCTCGGCTTACTGTTGAGAGTTAGAATAGAAGAATATACAAGGTGCAATTTCAAAATGTGGTTGTGTATCAGCAGTTTTTCTGTTGTTATATCAGTCACTGACAGTCAATCAATTAGCCATGTCAGCTAGCAATTTTTTGATTGCTAAGTTAGTCTAGCCTGCTATGTAAACTTGTAGTAATCATGGCCATATACCGACCGGGCACGCAGGGCATGTGCCCAGGGGCCCTGACCTCCAGGGGGCTCCCATTGATTTTGTTAGTCACTCTAACTCAGATATCAGTACCAATGGCAAAATGTGTAGAATTGCAGGAAATGTACTTTAAATCGTTACATTTTTCTCTCCGCCATCAAGAGGGGGGCCTCTAAAATGTTTTGCCCGCGAGTTGGGCCCCCCCCCCCCAACCAAATCTTGCTTTGGGTCCCCAAAAGGCTAGGGCTGGCCCTGAGAGAGAGGGATGAGGGGGGAAAAGAGGAGAGACTGGGATCATATGCGACAAGATTTGCTCGCCTCTATTTTACTGTGTATGTCTGGAGACATGGAGGAGATTGGTGAAATTGTAAGGAATGGGTTGCAATGATGTTTTGGACATCTTTTACCTGGGACATCTATTATAATCTAGCCACTGGTCATTTAAATACAGGAGTTCTGTCAAGTTGCTGCATTACCTTATCCTGATCAAAATGTCCCTGGAGAGTAAGTTTATATTGCATATTTTTTGATGCACCAAACAGAGACTTAGAGAAGCAATTTAATCTTGCTTCACTAGGTTATATTCCATTTTTAATCACGAGCGTTAACCTTTTAGTCATAACTGTCAACCACACTTTTATTAATAAAATGTGTACCTGTCAATGTCTCTTCCTTGTGGTTCTTTGCCGTGGCTGCTCTTTCCCAAACACTTTCCACATAGACCGATGTTCTCTCTTCTTCTCCCCCAGGGAAGGTGCCCAAAACATTGGGGAAAATGCCGCCTCACCGCCCCCTGTTCTTGGAGACTGTGAGGTCCTTGGGCCCACCCCCACCACGCCCTGCCGCACCAAGCATGAGGGGCCTGGAGGGACTGGGGGTAAGTCCACAGATCCAGTGGCAACTACAATGGCATTAGCCTAATAAGATTAATAAAATGCTTCCTGTGTGACACGTGCTGCAATGATGTCTGGAGAAAGACTGCGGCTCCATCTCAATAGACGTGTTGGTTGTTTAGCAACAAAACCGTGTGCAATTATGGGGCAAAACAGACTGGGTTGGCTTAGATCGTTGATTACATGTAAACTATATTTCATCTCCAATGTTTATTGAAAACATATTAAAGTTACACAATTAGCACTTGTCTCTCAAAAACATCGCTACAGTTGTTGGTTAGCTAGCCATTGTTTTGCCATATTAGCATAGACGTGACATCAGTCAACACCTCAAAAACAGGAACATGATCAAACGAGCTGAAACAAGACCCAATTCACCACATGGGAGTTTCTTGTCATTGTTGCTAGCTATCGGGCAATCCAGAACCATAACAACACGGTCTTCTGCCCCTTTGAAGCGCACCCATTGTTTTTGTGACATTGTCAGGTGACCCATCTATTAGTCTTTCCACAAATCCTCGCTTTCTATGTCCTCCCACCTTTTCAGTCGTTTTGGAGAAGGTCCCTTCCCAAATATTTCTCCAATGCGTTTTGAGGTGAGAGGATACCGAGTAACAAGCCCAAGTAATATAGAGAATACCCATCTCTGTCTAAATCTGAGTGTTTGTGTGTTGCCATGAACTTGCATCAAATCAAAGTTTATTGGTCGCGTACACAGTTTTGCAGATGTTATGGCAGATGCAGCAAAATGCTTATGTGTCTAGCTCTAATAGTGCAGTAATATATAGCAATACAATAACAACACATAATCCTAAAGTTTTTATTTTTATTACAAAAAGTTAAGACATATCAGAACGAGCAATATCAGAACGAGCAATGTCCGTCTAGAATATAAATATATACAGTACCAGTCAAAAGTTTGGACACAGCTACTCATTCCAGGGTTTTTCTTTATTTTTACTTTTTTTCTACATTCTAGAATAATAGTGAAGACATCAAAACTGTGAAATAACACATATGGAATCATGTTTTATTTTTCATTTAACCAGGTAAACCAGTTGAGAACAAGTTCTCATTTACAACTGCGACCTGGCCAAGATAAAGCAAAGCAGTGCGATAAAAACAACAACAGAGTTACATATGGGGTAAAACAAAACATAAAGTCAAAATACAACAGAAAATATATATACAGTGTGTGCAACTGTAGCAAGTTATGGAGGTAAGACAATAAATAGGCCATAGTGCAAAATAATTACAATTTAGTATTAACACTGGAATGATAGATGTGCAAATAGAGATACTGGGGTGCAAATGAGCAAAATAAATAACAATATGGGGATGAGGTAGTTGGGTGGGCTAATTACAGATGGGCTGTGTACAGGTGCAGTGATCGGTAAGGTGCTCTGACAACTGATGCTTAAAGTTAGTGAGGGAGATAATAGTCTCCAGCTTCAGAGATTTTTGCAGTTCGTTCCAGTCATTGGCAGCAGAGAACTGGAAGGAATGGCGGCCAAAGGAGGTGTTGGCTTTGGGAATGACCAGTGAGATATACCTGCTGGAGCGCAGACTACGGGTGGGTGCTGCTATGGTGACCAATGAGCTAAGATAAGGCGGGGATTTGCCTAGCAGTGATTTATAGATGGCCTGGAGCCAGTGGGTTTGACGACGAACATGTAGTGAGGACCAGCCAACAAGAGTGTACAGGAAACAGTGGTGGGTAGTATATGGGGCTTTGGTGACAAAACGGATGGCACTGTGATAGACTACATCCAATTTGCTGAGTAGAGTGTTGGAGGCTATTTTGTAAATGACATCGCCGAAGTCAAGGATCGGTAGGATAGTCAGTTTTACGAGGGCATGTTTGGCAGCATGAGTGAAGGAGGCTTTGTTGCGAAATAGGAAGCCGATTCTAGATCTAACTTTGGATTGGAGATTCTTAATGTCAGTCTGGAAGGAGAGTTTACAGTCTAACCAGACACCTAGGTATTTGTAGTTGTCCACATACTCTAGGTCAGACCCATCGAGAGTAGTGATTCTAGTCGGGTGGGCGGGTGCCAGCAGCGTTTGATTGAAGAGCATGCATTTAGTTTTACTAGTGTTTAAGAGCAGTTGGAGGCTACGGAAGGAGTGTTGTATGGCATTGAAGCTCGTTTGGAGGTTTGTTAACACAGTGTCCAATGAAGGGCCAGATGTATACAAAATGGTGTCGTCTGCGTAGAGGTGGATCTGAGAGTCACCAGCAGCAAGAGCGACATCATTGATATACACAGAGAAAAGAGTCGGCCCAATAATTTAACCCTGTGGCACCCCCATAGACTGCCATAGGTCCAGACAACAGGCCCTCCGATTTGACGCATTGAACTCCATCTGAGAAGTAGTTGGTGAACCAGGCGAGGCAGTCATTTTAGAAACCAAGGCTATTTAGTCTGCCAATAAGAATGCGGTGGTTGACAGAGTCGAAAGCCTTGGCCAGGTCGATAAAGACGGCTGCACAGTACTGTCTTTTATCGATCGCGGTTATAATATTGTTTAGGACCTTGAGCGTGGCTGAGGTGCACCCATGCCAGCTCGGAAACCGGATTGCATAGCGGAGAAGGTACGGTGGGATTCGAAATGGTTGGTGTGCTGTTTGTTAACTTGGCTTTCAAAAACTTTCGAAAGGCAGGGCAGGAAGGATATAAAGGTCTGTAACAGTTTGGATCTAGAGTGTCACCCCCTTTGAAGAGGGGGATGACCGCGGCAGCTTTCAAATCTCTGGGGATCTCAGACATTATGAAAGAGAGGTTGAACAGGCTAGTAATAGGGGTTGCTACAAATGATGACAACGTTGCACACTCTTGGCATTCTCTCAACCAGCTTCCCCTGGAATGCTTTTCCAACAGTCTTGAAGGAGTTCCCACAAATGCTGAGCACTTGTTGGCTGCTTTTCCTTCACAAACCATCTCAATTGGGTTGAGGTCGGGGGATTGTGGAGGTCATCTGATGCAGCACTCCATCACTCTCCTTCTTCGAAAAATAGCCCTAACACAGCCTGGAGGTGTGTTGGGTCATTGTCCTGTTGAAAAACAAATGATAGTCCCACTAAGCCCAAACCAGATGGGATGGCGTATCGCTGCAGAATGCTGTGGTAGCCATGCTGGTTAAGTGTCCCTTGAATTCTAAATAAATCACTGACAGTGTCACTAGCAAAGCACCATAACACCACCTCCTCCATCCTTTACGGTGGGAACTATACATGCAGAGATCATCCGTTCACCCACACCATGTCTCACAAAGACACGATGGTTGGAACCAAAAATCTCCAATTTGCACTCCAGACCAAAGGACACATTTCCACCTGTCTAATGTCCATTGCTCGTGTTTCTTGGCCCAAGCAGGTCTCTTCTTCTTATTGGTGTCCTTTAGTAATGGTTTCTTTGCAGCAATTCGACCATGAAGTCCTGATTCACACAGTACCCTCTGAACAGTTGATGTTGAGATGTGTCTGTGACTTGAACTCGTGTGAAGCATTTATTTGGGCTGCAATTTCTGAGGCTGGTAACTCTAATGAACTTATCCTCTGCAGCAGAGGTAGCTCTGGGATTCCATTCCTGTGGTGGTCCTCATGAGAGCCAGTTTCATCATAGCTCTTGATGGTTTTTGCGACTGCACTTGAAGAAACTTTAAAAGTTATTGAAATGTTTCGTATTGACTGACCATGTCTTAAAGTAAGGATGGACTGTCATTTTTCTTTGCTTATTTGAGCTGTTCTTGACATAATATGGACTTGGTCTTTTACCAAATAGGGCTATCTTCTGTATACCCCCCTACCTTGTCACAACACAACTGATTGGTTCAAACACACCTGTTAATTGAAATGCATTCCAGATGACTACCTCATGAAGCTGGTTGAGAGAATGCCAAGTGTGTGCAAAGCTGTCATCAAGGCAAAGGTTGGCTATTTGAAGAATCTCAAATATAAAATATATTTTGATTTGTTTAACACTTTTTTGGTTACTACATGATTCCATATGTGTTATTTCATAGTTTTGATGTCTTCACTATTATTCTACAATGTAAAGAAAAACCCTTGAATGAGTAGGTGAGTCCAAATTTTTGACTGGTAGTGTATGTATGTGAATGATGTGTATAGACAGTATGGACAGTATATGAATAGAAAAGGTGTGTATAGCAGTAGTTATATAGGATGAGCCATGACTAGAATACAGTATATACATATGAAGTGGGTAAAACAGTGTAAATATTATTGAAGTGACCAGTGTTCAATGACTATGTACGTATGGCAGCAGTCTCTAAGGGGGGTAGAGTATCGGGTGGTAGAGCTGGGCGATATATTAATTTGATTAATTAGATTTTATGTTTTCGCGCGATATTCCAAATGCCTGTATCGCAAGAATCGAGGTTTTGTAAATTTTCGTTTTAATGAGCATTTATGTCCGCTTGTTCTCGTGTTGTATTTCTGGTCTTGTTTCCTTCGCTCCTCTGTGCTGTTTGCAGCTTCCCATTTACACCAGAGATCTGTATATAATGATGAGATGTCTCAGCCCTAACAATGGGAGTCGTTGTCCCAAAGGCGGGAAGGCAGGTGACCAAAATAAGCCTATAGAACCGCATTGGCCTTATTTTTGACAGATTTGAGCTTCGCCTCTTCTTCTATGGTTTACACACACACCAAGCCCTTCCCCCTGCCTCTCACGCCAACAAAGTTGCGAAATCACATCTTCCTCTCTGACAAGCGTTTTCAACTCGCTATTTGCATTTGAGGTTTGGTCAAATGGAATTGGTCATATGGACACAAACACATAGACATTATTTTACTGTAATAGAGGAGAAGTTAACTTTTGTAATGATACCCTTTGTCTCAACTACTGAAATTGAGAGCAGAGCAGACACTACTAAAACGAGAGTATCAATGAACGCTCAGTTTGTTGCGCGTGGCATTGGGGTACCACATACCGCTAGCAGCATTTTATCCAAAGACCGTTATACTAGCTGTCTAGTCTGTGTTTTATAAATGTGCAATAAACA